TTATCATTGAATGGCAAGGGCAAACAGGTCAAGTTGATTTTTCATATTTGCCATTGTATGTATGCAGGTATTTTATATGCATTTACGTAAAAACATAATGTTAATGCGACGGTAAATGTGCATTTTTGTTAGATATTGTTACCACGCTCTTCATTATCACGCTTTTATTAGCTTGGGTTGTATGTATGTATGTAACGGAATCTGAGCTTAATTTTCATCGGTTTCTAAAAGTCTGATCATCTTGAAACTTTGCACACGTCTCAAGGATCGATGACAATGCAATAATTTGATAACAGTTTCCCATTATCCTTATTAGAACCGCCAGGATCCTCGATCCTACGGAGACCACTGAGTGGTTCTTTCTAGAAAAATCTAAATAAGTAATTAATTCCCCAATTTATGAATTTGTCGCAGACTAAAAAATGAAAAATAAATAATAGTTTAAAAAACTAAAAAAACACGCTTTTATTGCTAATCGAACTAAAAACTAGAAAATAATTTTTAATGGCAGAGTTTAATATTACAGTAGTAGAAGATCAAACAATCAATCATAATAAATCACCTCAAATTAAAATTATAATAAAATTTAAGTTATTAACAGAATAATTCAATTCAGAGTAAAAAGCGTGGGGTGCATTTTACTGCGGTTCATAACTATCCTCTCATAGATAGTTGCCAATAGAATGATTGTAATATTTAAAATATCAAGCACCCCACGCGCTTTTTACTCTGAATTGAATTATTCTGTTAATAACTTAAATTTTATTATAATTTTAATTTGAGGTGATTTATTATGATTGATTGTTTGATCTTCTACTACTGTAATATTAAACTCTGCCATTAAAAATTATTTTCTAGTTTTTAGTTCGATTAGCAATAAAAGCGTGTTTTTTTAGTTTTTTAAACTATTATTTATTTTTAAAAACTTCCCGAGCGTAGCTAAGGAAGTATTAAAATCGAGTTCGTCGGCCGATTGGCTGCTTTCATATTTTTTCGATGTGTCATAACCCCTAAAATAGGACAAAACGGATCCCCTGTTTCCGTCTCTCTGTCTGTCTGTATGTCCTCCGTTTGTCCAAAATTTGTCTAATCACCAAGAATTTAATGAAATTAATCAGTCTCTCATTTTCCCGAAAATCTGAGAATACGCACGTCTTTACAATAATAAAATAGTGATAAAATAAGAATTATAATAATAATATCGTAATTATCGTACAGCTCTACACGAAGCCGTGAGTACCCAAATTTTCCAGTTACTATTCAAAATTTAGCAGATCAACGTAGAGCTGTAGTTAAAAATAACTACATACCTCAACTTACTCTAGAACAATTAAAAAATGAAGTTTCCAAACTTCCTGAAGATATCAACAACACACCACCAAATACATTACTGACTGACACATCTGTCACCAATTTGTCAAAAACAACATCTCAAAATAAGATAACAATTATACCACAAAATAGTAACATTAGTCTATCAAATACACCAGAGACACCGACTGACACATTTACTAAAGATTTATTAAACAAAACACCTCAAAATAAGATCACAACCATAACACAAATTACAAACACACTATCAAACAGATCCCAGACATTCACTGACAAATCACTTAACAATTTATCAAGAACAATCCAAAACGAAATTAACATCACAGATAAATAATCTACAAAACACGTACTACAACAACGAAGACACATTAATCAAAACTGTAAACAACAATTTTAAATTTCACATTAATTTCCAAAATGAAATTGAAGACCAATTTAAATTAACTTTCGAAACATGTTCCAAATTGAAACCAAATGATAGACATTCACTTCCTCGCCAGTGTTATTCTAAAAAGTTTCTAGCAATTGTAGAAATAATGAACTCCTTCATTTTACCAAAATATCTCACAAACTCGATCTCTTTTGAAAAACTTCATACAATTATCTACTGTGCAGCTTTAACTTGTATTCAAATTAACACATGTAAAGATAACATAATAAATACAAACACCAATAATATACCTTCGACCCCTCATTGGGAAACACGGTTAAATGATAAAATTAATAACATTAGAAAACAACTAGGTCAAATAACACAGTACCTTAGAGGAGTTAAAACACCACATATCATGACATGTATGCATTCGATACTGACCAACAATAATTTTCATCAAACTGATTACAATGAGTACAACATAACATTATCCCAAATTAAAGATACCCTATTACAAAGACTTTCCTTATATAGCAAACGACTTAAAAGATACAAACAATCACATCTCAGAAAAATTCATAACACTAAATTTTTAAACAACGAAAAACTATTCTATCAACATTTAACTAATTCAAGCAAAACTCAACTATCCGGTGAACTTCCAAGTTCACAAGATGTAACAACATTTTGGTCAAAACTTTGGTCTCAAGAATTTGAATTTAACCAATCTGCCAAATGGATTCCTCATATATCCCATAAACTATCCACAGTTACACCAATGAATGATCATCAGGTAACATTTGTCGAATTAATAAATACCATCAATAAGACACACAACTGGAAATCACCAGGACCAGACAAAATCCATAATTTTTGGATAAAAAAATTAAATTGGGTACATATTCATTTACTACATCACTTAAATCAGTTCCTTCTTGACCCATCCTCCTTTCCAACATTCTTAAGTCATGGTGTAACATACTTAAAACCTAAAGATAACGACACAAAGAATCCATCAAAATACAAACCTATCACATGTTTACCGACAATCTATAAAATATTAACCTCATGCATTACACAAAAAATCTATCAACACTGTTTTAACTCTAACATCATTAATGAAGAACAGAAAGGATGTATTAAAGGATCCTTTGGTTGCAAAGAGCAATTAATCATAGATTCCATCATCTGTGAACAAGCTAGAAAAGAAAACCGAAACATATATACTGCTTTTATTGATTATAAGAAAGCTTACGATTCTGTCCCTCATTCCTGGCTATGCAAAATTCTGGAATTATACAAAATTGATACTAAAATCTGAACTTTTCTCAAATGTTCCATGGAATTTTGGAAGACCACCCTCCAAATAACCTTAAATGAACAAACAATTCAGCCAGACCCAATAATGAGCCGAAGAGGAATTTTTCAAGGCGATTCTCTTAGCCCCTTATGGTTCTGCTTAGCAATAAATCCCCTCTCCGATATCCTGAACAGCTGCAATTATGGGTTCAATATAAGAATTAACAAACAAAGAGAAAACAGAATAAGTCACTTGCTGTATATGGATGACATAAAAATATATGCAAGTACACAAAATCAGTTAACAAACCTATTAAATCTGACTGAACAATTTTCCGGTTATATTGGTATGTCCTTTGGTATTGAGAAATGTAAGACCCAAGCAATCAGAAAAGGCGTGTTTCACCAAGTACCACATATAACCCAGAATAAGGAAATAATTGAAGCCCAAGAACGAAACGATACATACAAATATCTGGGTTTCTGTCAATCCTCCCACATCAATCATACCAAAACGAAAACACAGTTGAAAGATCAATACGTAGCGAGATTAAAATTAATATTGAAGACACAGTTAAATGGAAAAAATTTAATGAAAGCAGTAAATACATTCTACGTTCCACTGTTAACATATTCTTTCGGAGTCATTAAATGGTCCAAAACTGATCTTGAAAATTTAAACATCGCAACAAGGAAAATCTTCACACAGTATAGAAGGCATCATCCAAAATCGTCGATTGAAAGATTCTCATTACCAAGGCAGAATGGAGGAAGGGGTTTCCAGAACTTAGAAAACTTATATCAGAGACAAATCTCAGATTTGAAGAAGTATTTCTTGAAACGAGCGGAAAGAAATGAAATGTTTCGCACCATCACAAGAGCAGATTTGAACCACACACCCTTAAATCTGTCGAACACCGAAGAAATCCACACCCCCCACACAATAGATAAAATAATAAGTGTGCTAAAACAAAAACAACTACATGGAAAATTCTACAAAGACTTAGAAGAAAATCATGTCAATAAGAAGATGTCATTGATTTGGTTAAAAAAATCAAGTTTGTATGCCGAAACAGAAGGATTTGTGTTTGCTATTCAAGACCCAGTAATCAATACCAAGAATTACAGAAAATGCATCATCCGAATATAAGAAACGACTGCTGTCGCCTCTGCAAAGCAAAACCTGAAACGATCCAGCACATAATCTCTTCTTGCAGCATCCTAGCACAAACTGATTACAAAGCTAGACACGACAACGCAGCCAAAATCATTCACAAAGAATTAGCAACACTTATGAACTTAATCGAAGATACGACACCCTATTACACTTACATTCCATCTCCATTCCTTGAAAATAACAAATACAAATTATACTGGGATCGCACAATACTTACAGACTTAAACATTACAGCTAACAGACCAGACATCATACTTATCAAAAAACACACGAACGAAGCCATTCTCATTGACATTGCTATTCCTAACACAAACAACATTATTCAAACATACGACACCAAGATTTCAAAATATCTACAATTATCGCTAGAAATGAAATCCATGTTGAATCTTAAAAAAATTTATGCTGTAATTCTAGAATCTCGAAAGTTGTTTTGTTAATCTAATCAATGCATATCATTACTTGGTCTTAGTACCCGTAATGATAGAAGTCTTGCCTGAATGCCGGTTATTTCCGGGTCAGTGGTGGGTCTTAATATACCGAACATGGGGAATAAAATGGTACTTTATTCCCCCATTGTTGGTAATAAAGTGATACTTTATTATTAAGATGTAAATTTGATGCTCACTCGCGTTAACATTTCGTTTTGCGTAGTCATCAAGTAAGTAAACAACTGTAAAATACGTGCATACATTTCTTTTATTTACAAAATGATCGCTTCACATACAATGTTGCTTTTGCTACTCAGTAATAAGAGAAAAACATTCAAGAGTTAGTTTCTAGTTGTATAATAAATTTCAAAACTAAAATATGCTTCTGCTAACGTAATATAGCCCCAAAACTAAAACCAGTATACTAGCTCTACCCTTTTACCGCTTTTACCAGAAGGAATATAAAGAAAACGTTACAAATTTATACAATAAATAGTAGAACATTGCAACAACTAAATAATGAGCTATCGTAACAGTGAATAATTTTACATATGTTTTTGTACTGACGACAGGTGGTTCCTTTAAAATGTACTTCCTGAATCCTAGAGCACACATATCGAGATACTTTTTCCACTGTAAATCTTCCATTGAGAAATTGAACAACGTTTTGTCGTCTTCGCTCATCCCCGTCCACAAATCTTGTACGTTATCTTCATCAAAATCAAAATTCTGGGTAGAAAAATACGATATAAGCATGAGAACTTTATCGATTTTTGCGTAGGCTTTGACAGCACTAAAATTACGCGTAAGGTTAAAAATTAAGCGGGTTATTTTAGAGAAATTTACTTGGTTGGTTTTCCTGTACAATAGAGAACAGCATCAATAAGGTATGCTGGAACCGTGTGCAAAAAAAACGTGTAAATTTTGTTACACAGCTTTCCCCTCACTTTGAAGTACCTGTACCAAATTAATTTCTCGCAGGGTATCCTCCAGTACCACGAATTCATGATGTAATAAAACTCTCCTGAAACAGAATTGCTCATATCTAACCAAGTATAGGTTTATCTATATCCCAGTAAATACAGTTGTGATGTTGACGTGACAGGTACGTACTCACAAAAGAACAATAAGTACATCGCATGATTATGTCCTAACGATATACCTGGAACGTAAGCTATATAACATCACAATGGAGTACTCATGCTATGTAACCAACACGTAATGTTGACTACATCTACTAGATATTTCATTATTATGTCGCAGCGATATAGCTTGCACATAAGCATTTAAACATCACACTGTGGTACCCCTGTTATGTAACTAACACCTAATGTTAACTGCATTTACTAGATATCTCATTATTGTGTCGCAGCGATATAGTTGCCAGGTAAGCCTTGTAACATCACAATGGAGTACTACGGTTATGTAACCAATAAGTAATGTTAACTATAGTTACTAGATATCTGATTAATATATATATATATATATGCTTCGGAATGTTTTATTGTTATTAGTTAATTATGTAAAGTGTTTTTCAGTTCATTTTATAAAATGGCATGTTAAATCGAAAATTCACGTTTCTGACAGGCCAACAGCAAAAAACATTTAAAAACATACATATCGAGTATTATATAGCTCTATTTTATATTTATTATTTATGTTTGTGTTGCAAGTAAATAGTATATTCATAAACAAAAGATGCTGAGTCTTAAAAAAAGAAATTTCTTCCCTGTCTTAAATCTTGCACTTTTTTTTCATATTATATTTCCTGTAATTACATGTATTTATAATTTTATTTTTATACGTCCATTTATACGCGCTTTATAAAACAGAAGAAGAGACTTAATGCACATAGTTTATGATCAGAATTAAAAAATGTCCCATCTAACAGGTAATACCAATTAAGACTAGTAATGAGACATTATTTTTTAACCTCTGTCTATGCGTCACTGCCAAAAGGGAACAATTATACATATACAGAATTTTGAAATGAGCTCGAAAAATAAAATGATATATTTCATCATTTTATTAATTCTAATGCAAAATATGTTGATCGGCAACAAAAGGAACACAAAGAAAAAAATCGAAATTAAAAACTAATCTATTTCAAGGTCAGCGATATCGTTCTTAAATAAAAATGAATTCAATAATTTCTTCACTTTGATCGTAAGGAAAATAAATAATAATTTGAAACAATAATTGATCATCGAGTTTTGTGTATTGACTTTCGCACTCAGTTATAGGTATATCTGTTTAACATTAAATTTTCAAAAGTTTAGATTTTTCCAATGTACTCTTGGGCTCTAAAATAAACTGGTAATGTATAATGTATAATTATAATTGAGTATTTTCGTGGTTGATCTTTAAATTATTATTTATTCAAAAAATTCACTTAATTTCATATCCAATATGTAGCTAAATGAAAACTGATAATAAAGCAGCAGATTGACGAAATAGTGTAGACTTTTTTTAATGTCGGTAATAGAGTGTATGTATAATAACTAGAGAGCGGAAAATATGCAGCAAAATTTTGCGAAATATGATCATATGACATGCATCAAATTTATGCAAATAAGCAATAACTTTCTTAATATATGCAGAGATATGCAGTTGCATATACTCCAAAAATAAAAAAAGCGTAATAACCGAACTAAATTTATTTACAAATTGCAAAAACCTTTTATTACAAAAAATACATAAATCACATTGCAAAGTGTTTAATTAGATCTCACTGACAAATAAATGACATTTTTTAAGATAATATTCTTATACTAAAAAATAAATATAGGTAAACAGAACGAATTAAAAAATAGTAGTAATCGACTATTTAATTACTATTTTGGTAACAATTTATTTTTAAATATTTTTCGAAATATTCTAACAAAAATTTTTCCGGTGATTCTAAAGTATGTATTTGTAAATAGAAAAACTGCGTACTGCGTCCACAGATGTAAAAATACTTATCGGATTAGAGCAGGCACAACAAAACACAGTTTCTTCTTGAAGAATAAGTTCAGGAAAAAGTTTAATTCATAAATTAATTTGAGTTATCTACATATTGGCACACATCTCTATCGCTTTAAATACTTAAATGCAAACTCACGATGAAAAATAATAGGATAACGTCCCTTCGACCACCATAAAACATACCATTAATACACTTAAGTAAGGAACAAAAATATTGAAATGAACGGCATTTCCAAAAGTAATTAGGACCCGAATTTACCTGGAAGGATGGCTTAACACCCAGTGGTTCCTCCAAACTACCATAAAACCCAAACCTTGCCCAGTTATTTGAAGCTCAGGACAATATTTGCAATATGATTCATGAAATTTCGTCTTTCTAGAAAAATGCCGATCGAATTGCAGTTTTTTTTTCAAAGTAACACAAAAATTGATAAAAATGCAAAATATGCACCCGTTACGTGAAATATGCAGCAGAAGGCAAATGTATGCAAATATGCAATTTTTTATAGCTGTATTCATTTTTAATTATCATGATTCGTTCACATATTGAATATCAAGAGTTATATACAAAAAATAACGGATATGCAAATTTCATAAAATCCGCTCTCTAATAATAACCAATACATCGGGTATGTTTCTGTTTTTGTTTTCGTTCGACACCACTGTATTTACAGTATTTAAGCAGGTATACGTTTCCGCCCCTAAAATCCCACGTACGGCATCCTTTGCCCACGTAAATACAGCATCTGGAATGAAGACAGAAACAGAAATAGTTTTACAACACCTTATCAAAATTTAAAAAAACCACTATGTTATTATTTGAAATTTATTGTTAAGGATTATATGGTCAATTAGATGGGGGTCGTCGTATTCTTTAAAAAGTGACTTTCGTCAGTGAGTTCGTAATGCTTATTTAATAATTATATTCAGAGCGAAAAATACAACGGCTTTATTAGAAATACACCAAAGACAAGTTTTTTTCATTGTAATAATTTCTAAGAATTATTTCTGTAAACTTGTTCACTTGAAATGTTATTTTGTAAGTACCTGCTTGGCAAATTATAAATAGAACATCTGTAAGGTGACCAGATTTCAAAAGTCCGAAATCGGAACATTAGATTCCATTTCCATCGTAATCTGATATATAATTGCTTTGAAAATTTTTAGTTGTAATATACTAACAGTACTGACATTAGCTGACATTTAAAACAGTGCTGACAACCGTATCGATACAAGTTTTGTTCCCAATTTTTCACAAAATAAAATTACTATTAGTGATTTATCCGAGGATTTATCTTTATTCTTATCAGATTTATAGAAATCGGAACATTCACGGAACAAATGTTTTAATTTATTTATTTAAACATTTATTGGACGAAATTTACAATCGGAATTAGAGTATTGAAATCGGTACAGTTCCGATCAAATCGGAACGTCTGGTCACCTTAAACATCTGGGGTAATATAGGGAAGACCCAACGACACAAACAAAGCCATACAAATTCTTTTCCCATTGTCCCTGAAACGGGACAAGGTTTTGGAGAGTTCATTCGTCGAATTTTGATTTTATAAAGACGTTTATAAAGCGATGATGGGTAGCAAAAAAATTAGAGAGTGGTTAATTTTGATTTTATTAAATTTATTTCATCTAATGAAAAAATAACGCTCAACTTCTGCATTTACTATCCACCAGATGTTTGGGGGGTGCAGTCGGACCTTTGTTGGTTTGGTTTGTCTATGAGTCGGACGATCCCTTTTTTCCGTATTTATGGTTATTGCACTTCAGACTCACAGTGAAGCTGTCGAATTCCATTTGGCCATTTGGTTCACAACCACCGAACCTTTCTCGTGAATCCGTAACTCACTTCATTTTTAATGCAGTTTTGTGAAAATTGTGCCATTCAGTGTGGGTTGTATTTACACTAGGTAAGTTAATATAATTCTAATGAAGTAGTCATTTTAATTTTTACATGCTTCTGTTGTTTTTGATAACTGTACGTAAATAACAACAACAGTTTTTTCAGATAAGCTGGAAATACCACTATTACTTACTGAAGATACTCCCGCTGATTTTGAAGAACTTACGGTTTGCCATAACATGTTGCAAAGGTATGTTACTGCAATTTTTAATGAACTAGGTGCTAATGAACATAATTTTTCTCTAGAGTTGAAACAAATACAAAAAATATGTGCGAAATAAAACAAATTCTAAAGGAAACGAGTGAACATATCTCCAATATGAAAACGTCATCAAATGTGGCAAATCAAAAAGAAAACAGTGATAGAAGATATGCCGCCCAGACCACAGGTAAACAAATTTTGAGGAATTAGAAGATTATCTCTGCCTACTACAACAAGCAGGTTTCTTTGTAAGTTAAAAAAATACAATAAATTTATGTGTACTTACATATAACATAATTTTGGATATTATATACAGGTAGATACCTGTAATACTATAACACTTTTTACGAACCTACTAAACATGACACATTTCGCTTAACACGTTACATACATAGTGGGTTGCAGAAAAGTCTTATAGTGAAGCACCCTGTATGTTATACATACGCGGTGACTTCCAAATAGATCCGGAAAAAAAATTCTTTAATTGTCACACGGATTCAAAGTAATTAAATTGCTGCTCCAGTTTCAAAAAACAAATACGGAACATCTTGTTAAATGTAAATGATGCGGCAATGATTTATTCAGTTTCCATTGTGACTAAATGTTTTCTTTGTTTTTGCTGTGTGTTGCTTAGATGAAAACAAATGGCACTGAATGAGGTGTAGATCTTGATATTTTTTCCCCTGAATTAGGACTAGATAAAAGAAATTACTTAAAATTTTCTCTACTTCGTGATGTTATTTTCCGAACTTATTTCAGAGTCACTCGATATATACACATAAAAATATTTTCTTCTTTTCTTATTTCAGGAACTGCTATTGTCCCAGATAGGTGGTAATGGGAAAAAGAACAATGTGGGGCGTGTATTAAAAAAAAAAAATTCAGCGAATTTGCTGTAGCTTGTTTGTTCGGTAGGAAAATTCCAAAATGGCTGGGACAAAAACAATGAATATCATGAAAGGTATTTTTTTTGCAATAAATATAGTTATTACAATTTTATATTTGAAGAAAATACAATGAAGACCCATTCCGCAATAGAAAAAGAAGTAGAACAACGCTGCTCAGAGTGGCTACGGCATTCTAGTCAACGCCTGAAGAAAGAAAAAACAACGACAGTTTATAGTTTCTGTGTCTTTTTTTAAGTGTAAATTATATTGTATTATTTTCGAATTAGGAAATCATATATATATTTATTTATTTATATTATGAATTTATATTAATTTTTGTATTTTATTACTTATTACATATTATATTTTTTCAAACATTGAATAAAATAATAATTTACCGTAAGCTCTAAATTTTACTCTCCATATCCATATCCCTAAATGGTAACTAGACTTTTTGAAATGCCTATTCATATCGCATAGATCATGTTAATAAAATATACTGAGAGTCATATGTTTACGATGTTGCGATATATACGTAACGTCTATGCCCATTTAATACGTTATATTGGCGTTTAAAATAAAACGTAACAGATACATCAAAATATAGAGAATCTAGCGACATACTAACACAACGTTATGATGATGTACCAGCGAGCACGTCTCTAGTCTGAAACGATGTGGATGTCACCAGTATGTTACAAGCATGGGTCACTGTTGATTACATTACATAGCACAGGGAAAGCAAATGTACGCAATTTGGGATGTAACAGCTAACAAGATCGTAGACAGAGTTAAGTATCATTAACATCGCTACGACGTAACTGTGTTTACTGGGATATACTCCAGCACAGCTGCTTCCTTTTAATCCCGATGTAATTAAAAACTGTAATGTTAGTTTTTTTCTCTTTTGCAGTTTTCCACGTAGCAGCTAAAATACAATTACAAACGTAATCTACTGGTACGAGATGTGCCAGAACGTCATTGTCTGCATGGAAGGTTCTAATTATACCAAGAGCTGCTCATATCACTAAGCCAATGGGACCGTAGATATTGTCAATCCACCCTGGTAGTGGTTCTTTAGCTGAATTCATCACTACAATGGCGATTAAGATTTTTCTAAGTTTAAGTTGGAGTGTCATATACCAATTGATGGCCTAACTATAGTTGCTGGAAAATGTTTCGCTGCATTTTTCATTAAATGTTCAGATATGCATTTGCTGTAAACATAAGTGAATTGCTAACTGCAGAAAGGGGATATATCACATTTTTCAAAATGTTGAGGAAATGAATAAAACGTCTCAGATTTTTACAACTACTTGTTTCCGATCCCCGTTTTCAATTGTCGGTTCTCTATGTTCTCAGTTATCAACGAGTGTTGGTTAAATGCATGTTTTCTTTTTTGGGTCAATTTGGCTGTCAAATTTGACAATTGGACATATCCCCTTTTTGCAGTAAAATGAAAAAAAAGGTAAAAAAAAAACACAAAAAACAGCTTTATTTCAGTTATAATTTTACACAAACATGTTATATGTATATCTGACTAAAAAACTTAATCATTATCGCGCTCCTGTTCTACAGTTGGCCAAGTAGCAATCTCCTGCCAAAATGCGTTATAAGCGTCTGGGATAAATCGTAAAGTGTTTGTTATATCCGTCATTTTCTTCTGGCTGATGGCTAGTTATTATACTAATTTTGCACTTAATACACGTAGTCATCTTCTCACAACACAAATTTAAAACATGTTTAAAACGGTAAATTTTTGTAGGAACTACGAATTTTGCAATTATGCTCCGCCCCCCAGTCTGGCAACAAATGAAAATTTCACCACTATTGAGTTCGCGGCAGGTGTGGGTGGGGCCTAGTTTAATGATGAATTTTTCATTCATTTCCAGGCCGAAGAGTGAAGCGTCACTGAAAAATCTATATTTCCCTACAAAAATTTACCATTTTAAACATGTTTTAAATTTTTGTTGTGAAAAGATGACTGCGGAGATTAAGAACAAAGGGCAAAATATAAGCCCCGCCCACCCACCCTATCTCAATTGTGATGATTTTTTTATTCGTCGTGAGCCAAGAGGGCGTAACTTAATTGCAAAATTCTTACTTCTCTACAAGAAATTACCATGTAAGACATGTTTTTGAGTGTCGTGTTGGATAAGAATAACGCAAGACGTTGAGACCACGGTGTTTACTGCAGAAAGTCGATATCTCCTGGACATATCCCTTTTCTGCTGTAACCGTAAATTTCATCCGCTTGTAGCCCCGAGCTAAATCATTAAACATGGCCCGTTTTTGCAGTAAAGATGTGTTTAGACCTCTAGAACACGATTATGTACGAATGTTATTGTGGTAAAAAATGGGACATGTCCCCTTTCTGCAGTTAGCAATTCAAGTGTTCGGCCATTTCTCTAATAATCTAGAAAAAGAAGCATTGGTACCTAAATAGAATGGAGAAAACCTTTAAATTAAATAAAATACTTACGCAGGAGTAAGATTTGTCAAAACAGTCTCTTCTAAAACATTCACCATACTGAATAAAAGTTCGGGCTCCATGGGGGGATCGTATATCTCTTCCTTAATGTGAAAATTTATAGAATTGGAATAAGCTGTCGATACAAGAACGAAACACTTGAAACTCAAAAGTTACATTTTTCGAAAATATATATAAAAACACGCTACCTTTAAATTAACACTGTCCTTACTCAATTCCAAAAGATCTGCAACACATTTAACATTGTTAGCAGCTTTTTTCAGGCTCTGATCAAACCTTACATTCGCCGCAAGATGGATAACAAAATTAACTTCATTCTTCAAAATTTTCAAATTATCTTCGCTTATTCCTAAGAAAGGTTCTTCACAGTCCCCTTCAACCAGCGAAACTTTTTCCTTCCAGTTGCAAGTTTTTAATTTTAAGAACTCAAAACATTGAACAGAATGTACAATATTTTAAGAAAACTGTCAATACTCACAGGCTGCTCAAAAATTTCGTCAAAGCGTTGCTCAGTGGTCTTCCCTTTTTTGGACCGTAGCAGCAAGTAAATCTTTTTAATATCTTCACAGTCTCTTAATAGTTTTGCAATCATGACTTTGCCCAAAAACCCTGTTCCCCCAGTCAAGAAAATCGTTTGGTTTTTGAAAATATGTTTGATTTGGCTGTTGTCGGGTGTCATGGTTGCGACTTACTGAAGAGAATGTGGTTTTCTTGAAATACGCAAAAAATTTTCATTTATTAACGATGAATATGCTGAATAATTTATGAATGTGTTTAAAGAAACCTTTTGTCCTCGTTCTTAATAATAACTCGTTCATTTCTATAGAATGTAACCTTGTATGTAATGTAATATAGTATAAGAACGATAATTTTGCATCATACAGACTTTACAAATCTAGTATTCTGGTCTACTTAGAAAAGTTACTTTTTTACTTGACATACGAATGCAGTGCCAAATTGAAAGAATGACATTTATGATCTAAACTTAGCTGGCTAAAACCGACTTGTCAAAAACTAGATTTAAACCCATACTTCCCTTCTAGATATTCCGCGAGATAGACAAAATGGTCAAACTTATGTCTTTATATCTTAACAAATGTAAATTTGGAAACGAGAGTAAAAACTGCATAGGCAACCACGTGCCCATTTAGTTCTTTCTGGTAGCTGCTACTTCTGCTAGAGAATTATTTTAGTGAGAGGCTTGGTAGAAGTTGGCTGGTTTGGTAGATGAGTCACTCTGTTCGGTGGCGTCACTTTTGGTTTGTAAGTTAAGTTAAGTTTAGTTGGTTTTGTAGTTAATAAAAAAGGGAGAGCCTTTGTTTAACGAAAATTAATCGTAACGACGACGACGCCATAGTTTCCCCAATCCGCGTAGTTACCTAATTCTTGCGGCTTTCGAAGCGGAAATATACGAATTTTCGACCGACGCTAACACGTGTTGTAAGTTTATTTTATTGTTTGTAAATTCACAGCTCATGTTAGGATTTTAATCGTTAACTGATTCTAACACAATTTAACAGACATTAGATTTGTTCAGATAGAGCACTTGCTAGGAGATTTCATGAAATACACAAATTATGAATAAGGTTTCTGGATGCTTATACTTAAGTGTTACATTATAACACTTCTTAATTCCACACACAAGATTGCTAATAGTTCATTTACGGCAGTTAAATCAATGTTAGATTACCCCACTCTAAAAACAAATACCGTGGAAAGTGCGGTAGAATTCATACTATCGTGAACTGAGGTACGAGGGGATTAAAAATCTCTCCCCTTAAGCAGTTATTATCATCATATCATCATTACATCACCGAGACATTTTCTCGCAAGGTGGAAAATTACATCACCGAGAAGCTTTTCTCACAACGCCTGTTGCATTTTGTGTTTATTTATCGTGTGTTTTGTTTGGGATAAGCTGGGGCAGTTCACGATATAAACTCTCAAAGCTAATGGTTTTAAGTAACCAGTCACTTGGATCAAGGCATAAATTAACATAATGTAAATGCTTTGTTTGAATCGTTGATAAAGTGTGGCATAATTTAACATAATGTAAACTCTTTGTTTGAATCGTTCATAAAGTGTGGCATAATTTAACATCTGGTAGCGGCCATGTTCAAAAAGTGTTTTCAAACCGAGCACATGTTTGAACTGAAAATCTCATTGAACAAGTTAACAACATTGTGGGTGTTTGGGGGAATGTAAAACGATGGTCCACAGTGCAGCTGAATAAATTCACTTTTTAAAATGTAACCAATAGCTCGAATGGACACCAAATATTAATCTCATGTAAATTTGTTAGCGTCAGGGGCGGCTCATGACTTGAAAAATTGATGAGGCAAAGCACAAAACGCTCTAAAATATAAATAAATCAAAATTACTTAAATATTTTCTATTTAGTCAAATAAAGAAATTTGTAAACTCATTTAACTGTCCACAAAGAACCAACGTGAAGGTGTAAGGAGGTCTTGCAAGGAAAGGATGAGAATGACAGGACAAAAGGAAAGGAAAGCGTGGTCAGAAAAAACAAATATAACTTCTAACAAAAAACAAAATTAAAATAAACTTTAAAGAAAACATATCGAAAAAGATCAAATACAACATAAAATAAAGCTAATTTGATTTATAACAAAAAACAAAATGAAAAAAATATAAAATATAAATACGGATTTATTTTAAATTTTTTTTATGGATCAATTAACGATTTACTCAAATCAGGAACCGGCGGTTTTAATTCCTTAACTACATACAATTTATCATCATACGTGAAAGTAGAAAAAACAGAACTGCCATTGTCATTTTAACGTTAGTAGAGAAAAATTCCGATTTACTCGTAATCTTAAATAACGATTACCGAAATCAAATTATGACAAGCACAAAGCAGTAACGCGACCCACGCAAACGTAGGCACTTTTAAGACAAAATTCTGTTACCGAAATTTTGAATCAATTTATACACACACAGATTTATGGCAAAACAATCAACGGCCTAATTTTGAATATTTCTGCCAATGCAGACTGCATTGTAATCGCACGTTCTAGGCGCGTAAATATTGTTGTCCATCTCTTTTGCAAGCACGGAAATGAGGCTAGCCTCAATTTTGTCTTTTTTCAACTCATACCGCTTATGAGTGTATTGCAGGTTGCTTGCCTATTAACGACATGATTTCTATATATGCTGTAGAGGCAAGCTTCCAGTCTGCCTCATTCGCGTCACAAAATACATGTTGTGCCGAGTGTTTAAGCGCGCTGTTTAATTAAGGGAGCAACGAGTACCTACCGAGATAAAAATAAGAATATCATTTTCTATATTTATTTTTAAAATTTTAGAAAAAAGACACAAATTATTGGCCGAAATGTGTCCGTATAAAATAATAAAAATCCTAATAAGGCTTAAAATTCATTGGTGAGGCACTGCCTCACCTGCCTCATAGGACAAGCCGCCCCTGGTTAGCGTTAGCAATTTTTCACCTCATACAATCTTTTCTATCTCGCACTTTTAGCCTCAGTAATTTTCCTTGCTGTATAATTTAAATTGAACGTAAATTTTCAAGCTCTGCAGTTCCTAATCTCACGTAACTTTTTATCTGCACAAGTTTTATTTCACACCAGATATTTTTGTTTTTATAAATCTTTGCTTGTTTTTTGACCATATAAATATTTTATTGATTAATGCTTCCATCATATAAAGTGTCTTAATCTCAGATAAAAATTCTTTGCTGCTTAAAATTTCACGAGAGTGTATGGCGAATTTAAATGATGTTAATTGCTCTTTTTGAAACTTTAACACATGTTCAGTTGTCGTTAATATCAGCGTTATAGAAAGTGAACACGTGGCGGAAGCAGAGTGCGCGGTTCCTTGTCGAGCTGGCGGTCGCGTCATCTGCACAAAGGATGCAGGCGTAGCGTAGAAGCCAGGGGCGGTCGGGATGACGTGACGCTGTCGGCTTCTCGGCTTGTCCCAATAGCCGAGACCCAACCACTAGTTTGTGACCGTAACGGCCTGCTCGTACAGGCACGTTTATTCGTGATAGAGGGGTACTGGGCGGCAGTGCTTGCGACCAGGAGCCCCAAATTCCGCTCGTGCTACAACGCCCCCTATGGATAATTCATACACATATATTTGTATCGTTACAAATTTAAAGATAATTAAAATAAAGAAGTTGGCAACGTCCCATTAGAACTTCAAAAATAAAAAATGCATCAAAATCTTAAAAATAAGCCAATTACAATAGATAAAAACATATAGGCTGTTCCATTAAAAAAAACACTAATTTATGTATTGCCCCCAAAAACGGTATAGTGAAGTAGATTTATTTTTGGTTCTAATAATATAATTAATGATATATTGAAAATCACCACATTCACTAACACTATATATAACACTACAACTAAAATCAGTATAGGTACTATCTTTATTCTTGCAAACATTTTATCGCTTTTACCAGAAGGAATTTAAAAAAATCGTTAAAAATGTATACAATAAATAACAGAACATTGCAACAATTAAATAATGGGCTATCGTAACAGCGTATAATTTTACGTATGTTTTTGTGTTGGCGACAACTGGTTCCTTTGTGATGTAGAGCTTAAATCCTAGAACACACACGTAAAGATAATTTTTCCACTGTAAATTTTCCATTGAGAAATTGAACAACGTTTTGTCGTCATCGCTCATCTCCGCCAACAAATGTTGTACGTTATCTTCATCAAAATTAAAATTGTGGGTAGAAAAATACGACAGAAGCCTGAGAATTTTATCGATTTTTGCGTAGGCTTTGACAGTACTAAAATATAAGTTAAGATTAAGAATTAAGTAGGTTATTTTAGAAAAATTTACGTTGTTGGTTTTCCTATACAGTACAGAACAGCATCAATAAGGTATGCTGGAATCGTGTGCAACAAGAACGTCGAAATCTGGTTACACAGTTTTCCCCTGAATTTGAAAACGCTGTACCAAATTAAGTTTTGGAAGGGTATTTTCCAGTACCATGAATTCAAATAGGAACAGAACTCTCCTGAAATAAAATTTTTCAATTCTGCCAAAAATGAGTAAGTATAAAACGAATAATATACCCCAGGTAAGCTGTTTCCTTTTAAATCCAACGTAATTAAACACTGTAACGTTAGACTTTCTTTCTTTTGCGGTTTTCCATGTAGCAGCTAAAATACAATTACAAACGTAATCCACTGGTACCAGATAAGTTATAATGTCATTGTAGGCATGGAGAGTTCTAATGTAACCAAGAGCCCCTCCAATCACTAAGCCAATGGGTCCATAGATGTTGTCAACCCACCCAGGTACTGGTTCTTCAATTGAATTCAGAACTATAATGACAGTTAAGATTTGGTTATTTTACGTAATATTAGAAAGTCATTTACCAATTGATGGCCTAACTATAGTTACTGGAAAATGTTTCACTGCATTTTTCAATAAATGTTCAGAAATGCATTTGCTGTACACATAAGTGTTCGGCCATTTTTTTAATAACCTTAAAAAAATGTGAATAGGATCAAGAAATTGTTTTAAAATAAAGGCAGACTTACGCGGGAGTTAAACTTGTCAAAACACTCTCTTCTAGGCCATTTACCATACTGAATAAAAGTTCGGGCTGGATGGGCGGATCATATATATCTTCCTTAATGTGAGAATTTATACAATTGGAATAAGCTGTC